AGCTTATGTGAGTGAGACTTCTTTTACCTGTGCTCATATAAATTGGGAGGTAACAATGAATTTGTGAACCGTGCTGTGCATATCAAAGACGGTCTCAAGTGTCTTACAGCCAAGTGATGACGAGGACAGCTCTAACGGCTTGAAATGTGCATGCGAGTGCAGAAGTAGTCAGAAAAGAAGGAACTTGTGTTCCTTCTTAGTCTCCAGAATTAGGTTTTCAGTCCAGTTAGGAGATCCACCTTCCCCACTTTGACGGTACCAATGGCTCCGTGGCATCCATCCTAAGATACTCCGTTTGTATCCTCTTCTCATGTTTTCACACACGGTCAGAAATGAAACCCTCCTCTCCAGGACACGACTCCTGGCTGAAGTTGGAGTGGATGGAGATGGTGTAGAAAGGGGTTCACATTGTCTAATTTCAGGCACTGAGCTCACGTAAGTCTCCTTTTCAACTGCCTTCACACCAAAGTTAAAGGTAGAAGTGCGTGAATGTCTTCCTCAGCCCTTCCTCCTCCTGTCCCAGTAGTATGTCATTCATCTGGTGGAGAGAGTCTGTAAATCCAGCTCCACTAAATCTTAATTATTTACATCAACTTTTACAGTTCTTTTTGGAGAGACTGTGAGAGGCTCATCTTATTGCAGGTGACATTGGGCACCTTAATTATCTGACTTGTAACTAACCTGAGCTGGAGGAAGTGTATGTGTGTGTCTCCCTCTTTCTCTCTGTCGTATAATTTTTCTCTATATCTTCAGGTTTTGATGAGGTGTGGAAAAGAAATTTTCCTTTGAAATCACTAAACATTTCACTGGTAGTAAGAGCCATTTCTCATCCATCTCCAGTCAACAGTTTGTGTCTTTAATTTCTGATAAGGGAACAACCTTGTAATGAGCAATCAGAAATGGCATCGTTAAAGTTAGAGATGTAAAAGGGAGCTACAGGACTGACACGGCACCAGCACACATCTTGCTGCTACAGGAGATTCCCTAAATCTCTGAAGATAAACCGTGAAGGCTTGTTGATGTTCTATTATGTTTCTGCTTCTGGGTGGAATAAAGACCTTATGGGAACTAGAAGAGAGGTCATTTCAGTCCCTTGCCTGGTGATTTTTTGTGACATGGGTTGTAAGACTTGTGATATTGCTGTGTACAGGGAGAAGAATTTGTGTGTGTTAATGCTCCTTTTCTGTCCCTTCTAATATACAAATGGGGAGTGAGGCAGGCACAGGGCTGCGAGGGGGTCATCTCTGGAGGGGTCTCAGACATGCAACTTCTGATGCAAAGATTTTACTGCTGGTAAAGTACAGATACTGGCAGAAGTTGCCACCATCCAGATAAAACCTTTTTTTATTTTATTTTTTTTTCTCCTTTTCTCTACCGGCAGCTGTGTATAGCATCTCCCCATTGGTAGAATAAATCTGATAAAAAAGTGTAGTTGTAAGCAGCAACGATTTTATCCTAGTGAAAAGATCTTATCCAACAGAAAAAATGTTGTGCCTGGGCATAATTTTTCAGATGTGATGAATAACAGCATAGTATGACCCTCAGTCCTAAGAATTTAATTTTAAAACAACTACTGAGCATATCAGATATAGTCAACTTTTTCTCTCCTATCTTTTTTTTCACAGGCAGACTTTGGTTTATAGATACATCTTGACAAAAATCTGCCATAGGCAAATTTCAACAAAAGAACAACTTCAAACACATCCAATTAACAATTTATGAAAGGGAATCCAACAGAAAATTACACAGAGATTCACAGGGCATAAAATTTGGCACTAAATCAAATTTAGTGTGGAAATGCCTGTATAGGGAGTTATGGCCCCTTCCAGTGCATTGTCAAAAGGAACTTTATCTGTGGAGGCTCAGAGAGTGCCCTCCATCGTATCTTTTCTTGCTATAAATAAAATATTTTGTCAGACATGGCAATGAACACAACTCAAAGGGAACAGAGACAACTGATAAACCAAGCTATAAGCAGTTTTCAGTCAGAAGTATTAAAAGTCATTAGATTTCTTCACACTTTTGAATCTAGGATTTGTTCGCTTTATCACAGAAATGAGGGGCTCTGTATCATCAACAAACACAAAATCACTTTTAATTTGTTAGCACAGCCAGCCACCATACATACCCTGATAGCAGGTCATGGTGACTATATTTAAGGTTACTATGGAGCCATTTTTATGTCTGGAAGGCAATTTCACCCCCCCGCATCCTGTTGTTTCCTGATTTACTCACTCATTCAGCAGCCGTGGTTTGATTTTCTCAAAAGATGTTAAGGATAAAAACTCATGTAATTGCCTTCAGCAGCTCTGAAATTAACTTAAGCCACTACTTTGTTTAGAGAAAAACATCTGTGTCTAGACCATTATCTATTTAAACACAGGAATAGCCGGCTTTTGTAAGAGATGACTGAGCAGCATCACCTGCATTGCACTATCTATCTGGATTATTTGGGGGGGCAAGTTACTTACAGATACCAGGACCAACAAGTGGGGATTACTAATAGAGTTGACGCAGGCCAAGATCAAGCATATTTGTGATACAGCTGTGGTATTACATGGACTAATATAATTTGGAAAGTTGGTTGCTGTATTGCCAGCTCTCCTGTTAATCCTGTGCTTCCACATCAGAAGAGAAAACATTTGAAAACTTGTGAATTTATTATCTTCCAATTGAAATGCGTATCTGCGTAGGAAAGCATGGCTTTAAGTGGCCATTCATGTGCCAGGTCCGTGGCACAGTGTCCTTGCTGTGACCGTAGTACAAGAATTTCATTAGATCGCTGTTTTCCTGTGTCTTCAGAGGGCAGACGCTTGGGCTCTTCCAGCCTACTTAGCGTTGTGCAGTATAACTGCCTCTGCATGTCACAGTTAGGCCACTGGTGAAGATGAGAGGACACCTCTGTCACTATAAATGAGGCATTAGAATACTCCAAGGGTTTTTTTCTTGAGTCCATTAATACATGCTTTTGGCACTGAAACACTCTACCAGGTAAGTTAGTGTCCAAGGCACGTAATAATTAGTGAATAAAACACCCCCAGAGTATCTTAATCCTATTAAAATGTGTCTTTTAAAGTGTAAATGAATTTTTAACCTAATTTTAAATGATTATTTTCTTCCTGTAACACACCCTTTCTCTGTAGATAACAGATCCCAGGGAAGCAGAAGGTGAAACAAAGTATGACATTAATGTCAAAGTTTTTAATAATTCTGTTTATATTTTTTAAAGATACTTCATTTTTTGCTGCCGATTTTTCTGTATGCCTCTGCTTCTTCCATCACCCCGCTCCCTTCATCACATTGTATAATTTTCCTTGTCTGCAGCTAGATGATGGTGATAATAATAATGAATTAATTTTGTAAGGCAAAGTCTAGGTTTATGCAACTGCAAAAATTCTTTAGTTTCTAAATGCAGAAATTATACACTTTTTAAAGAATTAAAGAAGTGTTAAAGCGTTAAATAAGCATTTCCAGATGCTTGATATTCTTCAAAATCTAACCAGCTAGAGTGTCTAAATGTGATTGCAAGAGTTAAATATTACCCATTTTCTCTACACCTCCTTCACAGTTCCTCCAAGGCAGATCTCTAAGCAAAAAAACAAGAAGTAAAACACATTATAAGTGACTTTTTTTTTCTCATTCCCCTGCCTCCCTCATGCATACTTGGTTAGGCTTCTCATTCTGGCTGTTGTGATTTGGCATTGTTTCCACTGCAACTTCCAGCTCAGTCCTCCTAGTCCTTCCAGTTCTCCAGTCCTTCTGTGCCCTTCCAGCCACTGCCAATGGCCTTGCTTCTTAGTCACCCTGTGGGAATTCAGGGCATTACAGATCTTTAAAAACAGCCACAGCAAGACAGCAAAGGCCTTTATTTCTCAGGCAGAAATCATTGAAAAGCCTCAGGGTTTGTGCTTCAGATAAGCCCAGATTCAGAGAACTGAACGTCCCCCTGAATTCTTGTGCTTGTTTTCTCCTGTAGCTTTCAGAGACTTTGGGGACACTTAGGTCAAGAATGTGCTGTAGCGACTGCCATTTCTTCTTTCAGAAGCACTTGGATTGCTTTTTTATTGTAAGTTTTGATTAGGAGTCAAAGCTCAGCTCGAGGCCAGTTTAAAGGACCACGTGCATTGTTTGAAGTGAAATACTCATGCGGTTGTAGGATTGGAGTCTTCAGCAGTGCCTGTTAGTTTAGAACTTCAGCGTAGCCTCCTGATTCTCCAAACCAACCTTGTGTCAGTTCATTCTCGGAGCCCAGTCTAGGCTGAACCGAACATCTCTATGGGCACAGAAGCTATAGGCTGGAAGGAGAAGACCCTGTTAAGCCTCTGCCCCTGCCTGCAGTGTAGATGCAGCTGGATCATGAACAGGCTCTTAAAATCTGGATCTGAATACAAGCACAGCTCCCAAAGGCAGTATGAATATTTAGCTACCTAGAAAATGGTATCTGATCTGTCAGCAAGATCAGATACACTCTATAGAATGAATACAGTGTAACTGTGAGTAGCACAAACTGATGACTCTGAAGTCACATTACTACAATAATTTTCCCTTTTTTTAGCTGTATTTAGTTTATCTCTAAAGCAGACAAGGTAGGATCCTTTGTTATGTTGAATGTTGCAAGTTGGATCATAAAGTCTTCAAGACAAATGCATAGGCTTTATGTCTGCCTGAGAAAGTATCTAATTCCAGAAGAATTTGCAGGAAAATCAACAAGGGAAATGTGTAATTTTTTCAGATGCATGTAAATGTTTTGTTCTGCCAGAACTGTTGGAAAATTGAATTTGGTTGCTGCGGCTCAAATGTAGCTCCGGAGATCTGGCTTCAGGTCCTAACACTTCTTTCAAGACTCGATATGTTTCCTTTCATGTAGCTTACTCTTCACCTTTTCACCACTGTTTACGTGATCTATTGTATTAATATTTTCTTTTCCCATAAGAAGGCTGTTTAAAACTGGACAACATTTACACTCCCTTTGATTTCTTTCCATTCTCCCATCTCAGCAGAGCCCGAGGGCCCCCTTCTCTGACCTACCTGATGATGAGAAGATCTTTAACGGAGGAGATGGCATGTGGCAGAACCAGAGCCAGGATCAAGCCTTGCTCTCAGAAATCACAGAAGAGGACCTGGAGGCCATCCGTCAGCGGGAAGAGGCCATTCAGCAGATTGAGGTCAGTAACTTTCTCCATTCGTGGGCTTGTGAGCTGGAAGTGCAGATCCCTTGTGTTGTGCGTTGCTCAACATGATGAAGGAAATGCTGATTTACATTCCTGCCAGTACAGTATCACTAGAAGTGGGAGAGATTATCAAGTGTTTCTAAAAATGGAAATCAGTGGCAGAAGGAAGAATTAGAAATCCATATGACCTGTAATGAAAGAACAAGAATCAATTAATTCTCATGGGCTAATGTTTGGGGTTTATTTTTTTCAGTGAGTCTTCCATAACAGAGTTGGTAGCGAGATAGTTTAATTGAGCTTGGTTCTGCAGCAAAACAACTTTCTTGGTGCATGCAAACTTAAAGCTGGAATTTGTCACAGACAGAAAATATTCAGCTTTACCACTAGAGAGAATAATAGGTAGATGAAAGGAAATAACTTGTTAACTTTTTCAAATAATTCAATATTTTTGCTTTATCAAAGTATTTGAATGTTCTTAATGTAGTTAAAAGAAGACATACTATTTTTATTCCCTTTTTTTTAGAAGTGCTATAAATAAAATATGAAAAAAAGGAACAAAAAGAGGTCTGAATAAGTTAAACATCCCACATTTTTCTTTTTCTACTTCTCTTTTTATGCTTTTGGGAAACTCTTGTTACTCAAATTTAAGCAATAAATGAGTAAAACCAAAACATTTTAAATCTTTCTAATTTGTATGCTTTACAGGCCTAAACTCAAGATGAAGCAAAAAAAGAGGGCTTCAGAATAATCAGAACATTTAATTAAGGACTATACTTTGTCCTTTAATTGGATTCAGCTAATTTTATCAGAATAGATTTTTGTTGTAGTATAGCAGGAATTGTGATTAAGTTAACAGTGCAAAAAGGGGACAAATGTTCCCGCTGTAGACTGGTGCTTTGAGGCTTTGACCTCTGTTTGCAAACAGTGATAGCTACATATGATTCAACACTGTAAGTAAGAAATTTTGATATTTTTACGGGAGTTGGTTGAGGTTACTGTATGTCTAATTTCTGTTACGGTTTGCTGAATAGAGATGATAGAGCTTTGTGGACTTGCGTGCATTATGAGGGACAAAATTCTTAAAGAATATTCTCACACTGTGTATCCTTGGGTGTGAATTGTCCTTTCACGCTTGAGGAATGTCTTTGCGTCCACCAGGACAAACTCTAGGAAACTTTGTTACAAGAAAATGTGTATTTTGGGATGTTCCTGCAGTTTGATGTTCAAGAAGGATGGTAGCAAAGGCATTTCTGAAATGGTGTTGTGGACACAAAGGATATTGTTGCGATCCTTTTGTTTGAAATATAGTCACTGCCTTTTTCTTTCCTTCTTTATGTTGTCCCCTGTCCTCCCCGGAAAAAGAACACGTTTAGTGTTTTCCCCTTTGGCAGTGGAGAATGATAAACCCCAAGCCAGCCTCAAGCACGCCAACTTTGGAAAATAAAGAGATTTAGTCACGTCTCCTTAGAGAGATCTTTATTTTGCTGGTTAAATCCTATTTCTGTGCCACATATCTCTGCATCACGCCACACTGGAGCACATGGCCATGGTGGGGTAATTCAGGCAAGTTAAGTGAATCCAGTCCCAGCCCTACATAACTTCGAAATAAATACAACACTCACGTATCATGCAGGTTGCGTATCTATTGATTTGGTAGATCCTGTAAACCGTTCTGCCTAATATAAATTTACCTCGGAATAACTTATTTAACTTCTGCAGTTACTTATTCAACTTAAGCAGTTAATGTTGTTCAGCCTTCTGCTTCCCAAGAATGTGTGCACTTTCTTTTTACCTGTTTGTTCCCTGTCTCCTGCATCCATTTTGCTTTGCTATCCGAGATCCATGTTCAGCCTGTAAGGAGGACTGCATTCCACAAGCATTATTTCAAATGTAGCTTTAACATTTCTCCTCAGGAGAAAAACATTTAGGACCAATAGTATTTTATTTAACATCTCTTTTGAAAGAAATATAATGAAAATGAAATGGATTTTTGGACTGCATCATACTTCTCCCCAGCTGCATTTGAATAAGCAGATGGTGCTTTTAAATCATCATTTTCACTGGGTTTTGTTTTTCTGTTTGTTGACCCACTTGAACATATTTCTTGTGAAAGGACTCATCTTCCACATTAAAACTTCCCTGATTTCATTAGAAGTTGTGGGTATACAGAGAAGGGACTCACTGAGCTCATAGTCACCCTTACAACTTTTTTCCAGTATGTTTTCAAAACCACAAAGTAACCAAGAACGTTAAAAGGAAACATTATTCCTAACTGTCAAACACAACTAATAAACTAAATTTATTGCCAAATTGACGTACAGCATTTGTTCTCCTTTGCTCTTTGGGGACCAGAATGAAGAATAGAGCTGTGCAAAACTTATCTTATGCAAGTAGATTGATCTTGCTGGGATTTTTACGTTTCTGCATACCTAGGACCAGAAACATGTAGATCTTAAGCAGCACAGAACATCGTATCTTCTGGGCCACACTGATTAGTACACAACTTTGGAGAAGCTCATGGTGCTGGTACCAGTAATGGGCCCTTTTTTTTAAGAGACATTGAATTTTCCCTTTTTGCAAGAACAGATATAAAACCTTTTTATTGCTAAAGAAATGAGGAAATAAATTCTTCTCCTGTCTTGTGTCCTGAAAAACAGATATAAAATTGTGCCCATAATAGACATCTTCTTAATGTTCCAATGACTCTTTCCCACTTGTGTGTTTTCCACATCTCCAGAATCTCTTCAGAGGTTCAGGTTAATGGGACATTGTTCTCTGTCATGAACATCCCTTGAGGCACTTTTCAGCGTTCACAGTTTCCACCTAGAAAGATAACAGCCATGTCAAAAGTTCAGCTGGCTGTTCATTTTATTTAAATGTGCTTCTTTTGCTATTGCTTGCAGATTAAAAATAGAGAAGTCTGCAAGGGAGATGTCTCGCCAAAACCTTACATTTTGGATAAAGATCTTTATTACTTGGAAATGTCAAAATCTGGTAGGACACAGGAGCCTTGACACAAGTGTTATTTCTTAAAATATTGCTTTGAACTGTTATATAAAACCTATTTTAACTTGAACTGTATTGGCAGTGAATAATAGATGCCATAACAACTTTATATATAGCACTGTAAAATGTGCCATCAGAAATACATGAGCTGAACTGTAATGTGCATTGTCAGTGCTCAGTGCTGGCACAAGCTCTGTCATAGCAAATATATATAATTTAGCATCCCGTGCCTTTCATTGGCACCTGTGGTCATGTGAAAAATGGAAGGAGATAAAACTTTGGGAAGAAATGGATAACCATTGAATGGAGAACTTCAGAATTTCATCTGCTGACTGGAAAGACCTAAAAAAGAAGATGCTAAATGCCATATTGATTCAGAAAGCCTCCAGTGATCCACCCCGTGCAGACAGCTTCTCCAGAGGTGATGAGAAAGGAAGATGAGACAAACCCCTCCCAGACCCTACCACCATTTCCTTGGAGTCACCACCAGCCCATCCCATCTCCTCCACAATCCTCTTTCCTTTCTTATAGCAGTCTTCCATCCCACTCCTGTGCCTCGCGGGCTGCTAACACAGCAGTGGGTGTTCTCCTACCATGAAGAGTGGGGAATAACTGAGACAGAAGTAGACCAGGGAAAGGGCGGATTTGGAGAGCAGGGCTTACTCCTGGTATCAGGAACGGTTGTCCCTGAAACAGCAAGGCTCACTTCATCTATCCTGACTTCCCTACACCCCTTTTTCTGTCTACCCCCACAGGAGGAGCAGCAGCAATGAGAGCTCAGTCCATAGAAGTAGGCAGCTGCCCATTTTGGCCAAACCTGACACTACCAGGACTAACCACATCACCTCTCAACCCTGAAAACCAGCAGATGCCAGTCAGTTTATACAGATAATTGCAGTTACCAAACATTGCAAACTGGAGACCATCCGTTACAGATTCCTGTGCAGCCATGGAGAGTCCCCCAGTGGAAGGGTGCTGGGAAAGCATTTGGAGAAACTAGTTCGTCTACTCTGCCATCAATTCCTTATGTGCCCTGGGCACTGATCGTACTGATCTTAAGTCACTTACCTATAAAACAAGACTGAAAGCTTCATCCTACATCTCAGAGGGAATTGGGAGAATAAGTTGTTTAGCATGTTCCTTCCTCATTTCGGTCAGAAGACACAGTAAATAGCAAGAAGGATCCACCCTGTTCCCTGGGGTTATTTCCACAGATTTCTATTTCTTTCTTTTTGTATTTATGCAGAACTCAGGCATTATTGGCTGAAGTGAGAAGGTGGACAGTTTTCTCCAGTAATATATGGTCATCAGAGCATGACAGCCAATGCTGCCTGGTGATGCTTTGCTAAACTTTGGCAAGTGAATATATAGCAAGAATACCTCTGTCCAATTTCTAATCATCAGTTGAATATATCCTGAAGAAAGCAAAACACATCAACAGAGCTTCATTTTAGCTGATGCTTCTCTTGGCAAAAAAAGAAGAGTTGGACAGGGTGTGGCAACAGGCGTCAGGGAATTGCTTTTATTTTTAGGAAAGGTAGTTCTCTTTGGGTCGGTGTTGAGAAATGTTGATGTTCATTCCCTATCTGTTTTGAAGTGATAATGCCAGCCTCCATGCCTGTCAGTCAAGCATTTATAAGCAGATAGGAAATGAAATACAATAAAAATAAAACAAAAAAAAGCCCCACAGAGTCTGTCAGAGTGTGTTTGTTAGTTCAAACATGTTCCTAGTTCACTCATTACTGCGTATCATTTCTTGCTGAGGGGTATTTTCAGTAAAATGTCTCACTGATGCTAGCAGTTTAGAAGGTTTAATGCAAGCTATTTTATATTTTTCATCAGCTTCAATAGTCCAGAGTTTTGACTTATGAGGGCTCTGCCTGCCTCTTCACAGCGACTTTTCAACTCAGAGTAATGTATAAATAACACGATATCATGACAAGCACCGTAAGTGAGAGATCTGGTGCTGCGTGAGTGTCAGACAGCAC